GAACACCGTCAGTGCCAGCACCAACAAGCGCAATTTTCAGTACGTCCAAATATTCACGTGTCAAAGAACGATTCAGCATATCTTCCAGCACCTCTTGCGTGTCATTTGACTCCTCATTCAATTGACCCGATTCGTACAACGAAGATATGTATGTCCAGCGCTGCATCAGGTGATAGCACATAAATGGCGCTAAATGTGCAAATATTGGCACTAGCACCGAGTCGTAGAAGGCGGGTGGGCAAGAATACACAAACGGTTTAAAAAATACGCGCACAATGGGACGCAGCCGATAGTCAGGCACATCTTCCAACGATGCGAACACGCTGTTAATTAACGCGTCAGCAATGCCTTGTAGTTGATAAAGATCACGACCGAGAGAGGGACCCGCTGAGCCCATCATGTGATAACAACTCTCATATAGCAATGTCATAAATTGCTGTATACGGTCCACGGTACTAGTCATCTTTTTTACGTTTGGATCAAGCGGATCGGCGGGCGGTGTACACACCCCCAACAACATCTTTTTCTCATGCTCCAACATCGTGTAGACATTGCGAAATTCCTCCGAAAGCAAAGCCATTGCTTGCGGACGATAGAGCTCGTTGAGCACACGCATTAACGCAAGTATGTGTGGAAGCAGCGGAATGACATGCGGTGTGGCTGGATTGCGGCAAATGGGATTTCCCAGCTCTGTGAAGCCAACTACGAAACCACCACGAGACGCACGATCTGGATCGTCAGGCCAAGTGCAACGTTTAATAACAGCCAATACAACGTTTAGAGCGTCCAGCATGTGGCCCCGATTCAAACTGAGGGGATCTGATTGAATTGGCGTTACCGCTGGTTTATCCAGTCCCACGAACTGTATAAACGTGTACGGCGATTTGAAAACCTCTGCAAATGTTGGCCAATGTGGTAGTGTGTCCTTCATTATGTTTGCCACAAATACAGTCTGTCGCTCGTAATCGCAAAAGTGGTTTGATATCAACAAAAGCGCCTCCTGTAGCGTAGTACGTTCCATTTTATTAATCGCTTGCCGTGGATCTTCAAGCAGTACCCGTACATGTGAGTCGATCTGATCGAAAACCGGTAACAGTAGCAGCGGATACTTGTGACCCAGCTTTACCATCAACGAGGCGGCATGACGTCGTAAATTTTTAGTGGCTTGCGCTCGTGTCGTGTCTATATTCGGTTCGGTGGAATCACGAAAAACAAGTGCTTGGAATATACGCTCCAGCACACGTGGCAACAAAGATACGCCACTCATGGCTACGCAATTATTTGGCGTTATCTGACACGACGACATACTAAGGAATACGAAAAGCGCTGAAATACACGAAAGCAGTATGGATAGTATCAATGGATTGCTGGTTTCTACTTTCAGACATTCCTCAAGTAAACGCAAACCCGATTGTACTGATGGCCGCTCCGACACCAGCAGTATACGACTAAGAACACCATCAATAACACATACCAACGCCTCCCATTCCATGTAGACAGGGTCTTGAACAGAACAATTTACGTTGTTTCGTTCAGTATGTGCTTTGGACAAACGTGCATTGAGCCACTGTTCACAATATGTAAATGTAACGATAGGCTGAATAAGCGTTGCTTGACGAAAAACCTCCAGAAAGTCGGTGCGGCAGCGGTAGTAGAAAACGGCGAATTCCTCTTCGCTATCATATTCTAAGCAAATGTATGCTGCTGTCGAAACTGTAGTGGGTAGAGTTCGTGAGATGGGGTATAAAGTTTTGATAATACGCGGACCTATAACGGCTATCAATTTTGGAATGTAAGGAATCACGGTAGCATCTTTGGAAATGGCGTCGTGTTTTAACAACACATTCCAAATAAGTGTGGCACCATGCGCAACGGTAAGGGAATGATGGCTTGAAAGTAATAGTAAACATTCGAGAAATATTTCAAAATTTGGTGGTCGCTGTATGTTGCCATCTTCCTTACCCCAAAGTATAACCATTTGTTGGCCCAAACCACTCAGCATATTTAGAAGTTTCTTTAAAAAGTTGTGATTTTGCTCCAAAGCGGTAGCGTTGGCAGCATCTGGAAGCATTTGACTTGCCGTAAAAATGTAACGCATTGGTTCTTCGCCGAACAACATCAGCAGCGGTTTTCGTTCTTTCACCTGACCTTTGCGATTAGTGATTTGTGAGAGGCATTCGGCTGCATTACATTGGAATGCTTTATCGTTTAACAAAATGCAAAGTATTTGCAGTAGTTTACAATTATTTGAAGTTATATGGTTCATCGAAACCCATTCCACGAATCCAGTTAGTGTGAGTAATACCACTTCCACCACTCGTCCATGGGCATTCGCTTTTTGAAAGTTGCCTACGGCAGTAACTTCGCGGAATTTCGTAACATGCAATTCTATAAGTCGTTGGAAAAATTCGAATATGTCGTTCATGTTATTCGTTAACGCCTGATACATATCCTTACGCCGTTGGTTTGATTCAATTGTCTGAAGTAATGCAACATCTTCAACCAGACGAAGAAAAACCAAAAGCACTAGTTCAGTTTGAGGTTCACCTTTATTGCAAGCATCGGATAATTCAGATAGTAGTGTTGTCCATTGCTGTGGCCATTCTCGTTTTATCATTTCCACAATAATACGTGATACCGCATCTTTCAAATGCGCTAAACTCACATCTTCCGCTGGGCCTACGCCAAAGTGTAAAAGTTTCATAGCGTTCTCCTTTATGAAGAGTTTTTCTTCATGCGAAATGCTATTCCACTTAAATTTAATAGTGTATTCCATTAATTGTAGACCAAAGTGTTTCACGTTTTGACCAAATTGTTGTCCGCTGGCTAAATAAAGCCCAACTTGAGCACATAAAGGCGATTCCTCTTTAAATCTTTCACAAGCCATGTATGCTTCCATACGTGACTGCTGAGCTGTATCTGGGCGCATTATTAACTCCACAGCCTGGGCAAGCTCTTCCCCAAGGGCAGCTACATTTCCACGTTGTGTCATTTTAGTCTCTCGTATCCGCCACCTTCAATGATCAATTACTTATTTTCAACTGATCTTAGAACACGTATTAACCACTAAATTAATGCATGCTGCAACTGTCTTTTAGAATTTCATATATACTCACAGATATTTCAAGTCTTGTATATCGGCACACCACACACATACAACCTTTGCAAAAGTTGGTTTCCCTTTGAAACTGTATGGAAATGCCTGATATGTGCGGTATGCGAATTTCGTCTTTCGGATACTCCTTCCTCACCACCACGCCGCCGCCTTTTATATTCTTTGATTTTCCTTCCTTTTACCTTTGCGGGTGTACCTGCTACAAATCCTTCGCCGGCGTACTTTGTTATTTATTCAAATGAATTTAACCTTCAACGTGTGATTTAGTACAACATCTTTTTCATGCAAAAAGTCTCTTTGATAAATTTTTCATAAAAGAGATCAGACTTTAAAACAAATGTGCTAAATTAATTTGTTGAAAAATTTTTATGCAGAAGAACACAGCAAGCCTGTCTCACCTTGTGGAATACAGGGTTTGAAAGTGATAGAAATGTCGATAAAGGACTACTCCCTTTTGACACATACGCAACTCGTAGTTGTATCTTGACAGCTGCAGAATGGCAATAGAGGTTTATAATAATATCAGTATAAAAATTTAATCGTGACATCGCTTTGATAAAATGTTAGCATTAATTAAATTTATGCACTATTTCACAAATTTTATGCATTATTTGTTACTCTCTTAGAATTTTAAATATGTTTACATTTTTCAATACAAAAAAGTTTCTGTGGTAAGCAACCCCGTATTTTGTACCGCCAATCTGAAATGTCATTTGAAATGTATACGATCATTGAACATACACAGCCGGCACGGAATACGAAATAGGAGTAAAAAACATAAATTCCATATGAAATCAGCGCGGCTGAAGATAAATTTTTTTAACAAGAATCTTTTAAAAGTAATAAGGTTTGCATTAATTCGCATAGTTTAAATTGAGATAAATAAATTGTGAAGTTGTTACATATGGAGTGGTACGAAATAGCAGTAGATGGCGGACGCACTGTCAAATTCTCGTCGCGAGTGCCACATCCGTGCACTGCACATCATCAAGAGCAAAAACAGTTGGAACAGAACGATAGCGACGTAGTGTCTGAAGAAGCTTGTTCAGGTAAATATTGCATTGAACTTGTTATAGTGTCCTGATGCAGCTGTTAACCATTGTTTCTACACACCATACAGCGCCACAACAAGGAGGTATTATAAAACGCGGTACATGGTGTTGGCTGTCTAATGGCGATGAATTAGAAATTAGAGCGCTACGTACTGGACAAACAATTGCTACCTATAGGTTTTTGGAAACGCAAGGCTATGACAGCTGTTATATTCGATGTGTAGAGGAATTATTTCCGCATAATAACGATAATGTTCTTTTGGCTGTATGTTTGGAATGTTTTCGTACATCCGGACGGGGTTGTAGCTTTATAGCAATATATTCCATAGAGCATAGTCGAGTGCTGAGCTGCATAGAACTGCCACTACATATAACCACCGCAGCTTTTATAAGTGAAAATTGTTGTCGACGGTCGCTATTGCAAAATTTCGATGGTTGCCTTGCCGTTGGCAGTGAGGAAGGTGTTATTTTATTATTGGATTTGAATATCAACAAAATATTGAACGCATATGATGAGCGTATGAAAGGGCCATATAGACAATTGACTAATGAAATTACGGAATGTCAGATATCGGATTATAATTTGCCGCTTACCGAGATACATCGGTCTTTTCAACGTGCGCGTAATGATGGTGTACACTTTGGATTACAAGTAGAGGGTAAGTCTTAAAAAATTACTGCATAGAACATTTATCCAAATTATATTTAAACCACTATTATTAAAAAATATTTCTTAATATTTATTAAGCTTAAAATAAGCCACACAAATTTCATTTATTTTTTAAACTTAAATCATTTAAACAGTAAATTTTACTTGTTTAATTTGTGTTATTTAAACATAGGAGAAAAAAACAAAAATAATAATGCTACTTTAGGAAGTCAAAGTACCTTAAATTCTATATGTTAAACTGCGTGTAGATCTTCTAAATCTACAAACTATTAATAGCAGATAAAGTCAACTAATTAAAAAAACAAAATTTGTAAGTAAACAAAAAATTCAAGTGAAATTAAAAGTTCAATGGCATATGACCATATATGAATATAAACCAGAACGCGATGAGATGTTGATATGATAAAGTAATGATTTTAACATTCAGCGTTTATTCGTCACTATGCTTAAGCTCCACGTCTAACATGCCGCAAATCATGTAGGACAAGTCATCCGGATCCGGATCGCCATCGTCCCAGAATCCGGTCTGGTCCACATCGTTGAAATTATCGTAATTAAAAGTCATTGCCATCTGACTACTGTTTTCATCGGCACCGCTGCTTAGATCCATCAACTCGTTATCCACGTGAACTTTGTCCATTTCCGTGTGAGGTAAGCGCAGTAAGATTACACTGTAGATATGTTTTGCCGGTAACGGCGTTAGACCATGCTGAGTGCGTAAATGTTTCATCACATTACGACGATTTAACTGCATATAATTACATATCTTACAAACACGCATTTCAATTTGTCTGGCGCGTGCATTATATATATAGTCTTCGAGTAGTTTTCCACGTTTTCTACAAGGTTGATTTATGTGTCCCATCATTGCGGAACGGGTTGTTTTGCGTGTATTGCAACCACTGCAACGAAAGGCGTATTCGCCAGTATGCATCGAAAAATGTTGATACCAATATGGTATCTTGAAGCAGCATGTCTTATTGCAAAATACACATTCTGCTGCATATTGTTCCTGGCCATTCATGTAAGGACGCATCTCCAGAATTTGGCCGCCTTGTTTCCGCACGCGTGCCAAAACTGCTTTTGGTAGACGTGAAATGAACACTTCACTATCCGGATGTTCATTGACGTAGTGCGATACTGTGCGTGGAAAACGTTTATTACAAATCTTGCACCAATCGCTGCCTGCATGCCAATTAGCGTCAACATTTTTAGGCACTTTTTCATCCGGTTGAATTAGTAGTTCATCATCAATGCTAGTCGAATCACCAGATGTACTATCGCATGTAATTAGCTCTGGGTCACTTTGCTTTGGTTGCATTTTTACATTGGTGAGATCCTGCTTGCGCGGTCGTCCACGTTTCGGTCGGGGCGCATCTTCATCCTCAATGACGATAGTGGGCCTTTCGGTGTGTTTCGGTGCAGCTAATAAACGGGTTGGTACTACTTTGTATATACGATGTGAGCGTGGTTCGTCATCTTCAAGGCCCTGTTCATCGTCGTCATCGATGACAATTTGACTATTGGTGGAGGTACTTGTGAAATCAGTGAAAACATTTTTACTGCGACTTTGCGACGAAACACCTGAAAAAGAATTTATTTTTATTTATAATATTTTTTTATATAGTTCACATTTAAATTTACCACTAGTCATTGCAGCTGCTGTTTTCCCATTTTTCCCACGCAATGATTTGGCAAACATTTCTAAGTAGGCACTTTCAAAGGATTTGACTTGTTGCTCACGTTGTCGTTTCGCCTCCAGACGTTTCTCTTCCGCCTTACGCTGCACCAAAGCCATCATTTGCTCATCTTGTCTCCGTTTGTCAGTGGCAGCTTTCTTCTCAGCGGTAGGCGTTTCATCATCATCCGCTTCCTCTGGCTCATATAAAAAGGTTTCATCGTAACAACGTGTACGGTGTTGTCGCAACGATTTCCGTCGTTCTCCCTGTCCAGTATTACTTTCTTCCACTTTTTTTTCGTAGTATTTGGCTGGTGTGTATTCCTCATCATACTTATTTCGTTTCTTCTTATCATCTATCACGTCGTTGGTACCGCCATATTTGGCTACCAGCTCTTCATACCTGCTCGTGCGCAGCGTTATACGACCGGTACGCGCATCTGTCATTAGTGTGACATTGTTGCCAATTTGTGTACATGCGGCTGTACAAAAACGCATACCTTCTCCCGATAATCGACAGTCATTCAAGTAAAATGCATTGTACATTTCACGCCTAAGCTGAGCGTCCGCAGTACCATTGGATGTATAGGCTTTGTTATTAAGGGCAATGCGCAGGTCTTTGATGCGCAAGAATACTTTGTACTTGAGTGCAGTTTGCAGTAGTACTAGGCACGAGTGTGAAACAATCTGTTGCGGGTCGGCAAAATTCTCGATGAATTCTTCCAACCATTCGCGATATACTCTGCGCCCTAGTTGTTGTGTAATCAGTATTGGCGACGTTTTAGAACCTGTCGATGTCGATGAGGTGCCCTGTGTAGATGCGTCATCCTCTTCCTCCTTAGAGTTGGTAGTCCGTCGGTTAGCATAGAAAGCATTTGGTATGATAATATTTTTGTTTGAAAGTGTTGCGGCGAAAGCGGGCGGATTATCGCCTGTGGTAGCAGCGGCCGGTAGTAAATTTACTGCATTTAAAAAGTTTGACTGAGGTGTAGGCTTGAAGGTAGGCGGGAAAAGTATAACACTCCTAGTTGTGTTTTGAACACCTCCATCAGCCGCGGTTGTATTGGAGGGCAATGTGCGACCAGCTGTAGTAGTTGAACCACGCGTACAAACTTTATTAACTTTTAGTGATTTCGGCGCTTGTGACATTGGCAATAGTGTGCGCTTTTTGCCTGCAGTAACCGCCGATATTTTAACCGATCTGGTAACTGTTGGCATGATGATACGACGATTGCTACGTCGATTTGCGTTGCTGCTGTTCACCTCGTCCTCATCGGAACTGTCGAGTAGGTTTATGGTCTCTGTGATAGATTTAGTTGTTTTAATTGTGGGAGGCAATTGTGAAGTTGTTTTGTTTCCTTGAATGCGTTTTTCTTTGTTAGCATTTATCTTGTCATTAAACTTTTGAGTTATAGTTGTATTCGGTGTAGGGTCGACAAGCAGCTTACCGACTTGCGTATCGTCTTCATCGTCTGTATCCAAACAAATAGGTGAATTGCGCGATTCAATGATTTCTACATCGTCATCATCATTATCGTCCGGGCTTGTGAATACATTTTTAACGCCGGAAAAAACAGCTTGAGAAACTTTTACACTATTTACAGTAGACGGTGCGTCGGCTCCCGGACTTATTTGCAGATTTACCGCTTCTAGTGTGCTGTCCACTTGTCCAAGTGGATCGTCAATATGGGTTATTTCTTCCAACTCTGGTGCATTATCTATCTGGGTGTGAATTTCTATTGCGAACTCTACATGTAAAGAAGTATTTTCCTCTGTGCTACATGTAGGCGTATCGCTGCTTTCGTCGACCGTTGGTTGCGCTTGTTCAAATGTACTATCTTCGTTATCATTTACAAGTGGTTCCTTCAAAATTTCCGTATTGTTATGCTTACCCTTGCCACATTGCACTTGTTGTTCTGCTTTCGTCTTGTTTTCGTCTTGAATTTTGTCGACAATGTTTTGAACTCCACAGTTGATAAGCTCCTCTTCTCCCTCAATACCCGCATCTTCGGCATTCTTACTTTCCTTATCTTCCTCATCATCACTATTGTGTCCCACATATTCTTCTTCATCAGCTGAGTCAGGTAAAATCATTTCATTTTCTACAGTTTCTTCAGGAATTTTTATTAATTCAATACCTTCATATTCCAATTCTTCAACGTCTTCCGTTATAAGTTTCTTGTGTTCAATTGGATTTTCCCCTTCTCCACTTTCTTTAACGATTTCCTTAATTTTATTAAATGTATCGGAGGTTTCTAATTTACTGATAGCTTTAGGCTTCAAAACATCAGTTTCCTTATTATTTAACGTATTTTCGCCAGTTTCATCGAATTTCGCGCAATCATTTGTCAATTCAGCACTTTCTGACGCATATTCTTTTATTGGCTTCTCATGTGCTACAGTTAGAGTGTCTTCTTCAAAAAATTTTGATTTACTTTTATTTTGGTTTTGCAACGTTTCATCAACATTTTCAATATTTTTGTTAACTGTATCAAAGGCTTCACAGCATTTATTTTCCTTGCCGGTTGCTTCATTATTTTTTTTACATTTATCCTGAGTTTGAATTAAACTTTCTTCATTCACTGGTACTTTATTTTCAACTTCATTTGTAGTTGTTTCGGAGGAAGTGAGCTCGGAAGTCTCCACATTTTCCTTACTGGCCGTATTTTTCCCATTCTTATGTCCACACTTCTCTGCCTGGCTCAAAGTGATGGTCTGTAATGTGCCATACAAAATTAAAATTCTTGAATAGCTATTATAAATATTTGAACTAAATTATATATCGATTGTATATTTTCTTAAATTATTGCTTGTGTAAAAAATTTAAAATACTTCTGCATATTAAATAAATTGCAATATTTTTCATTTACACACCTTATCACCATGACTATTCCTATCAAACGCCGCTGTTGGCGTCAACGTCAACGTCAGCGCCGGCGCCAATGATTTTGTTTTATCGTTGTGTAGTAACACTGCATATTTGTCCAGTTCTTCAAGTGTCAAACTGTAATATTTATTAAAAGATGTAATAGTAATCAAAATAGCGTTTCCATGTTGCATTTGTTTATACCTGTCATCTACAGCTTCTTGTCCACGTAATACTCGCTGTAGTATTCTCAGTTTCTGCAATTCTTCGTTGTTTTCTTCTKGTAATGTTGTATTTGTAATACGTTGTTCCAAGTARGGCAAAMATTTTTGCATTTCATTGACTTTGTGCGTATAGTCATGTTTTTGTTTTTCTGACTCTGTGACCGGCCCCATACTACTCCTAATACAATTCAGCAGATAATCGGTACAATTGGCTTGTGTTTTATGTGTGTATGCTTGTTTAAATTTTTCTTCAAAAATATGCCAAAGTTTTTACGTGAACACTTGAAAGCGTAATTAGTGAAAAAAATTTGTTTTAATATTTTCATTATTAGGTATAGCTTTGAAACTGTTTTTTAAATGTAATGAAGAAAGTAAGTCTAAATTGTAGTGAGAAATTGTCTGCCATTTTAATTGTTTGTTTTCGAAGCCAAACTGCTGGGTCATTTGCAAATGTTTGTGTGACTTCATGTGCTGTGCGCATGCAGGGCGAATACTTAATCCTTTTTTGTTCTATATTGGCCTAGACACCGGTTATAGCCGAGTTTACAAATACATACTATTCTTTTCTACATAAACATAACCAAATATTTTATATTTTTGTTTTCATTTAGTTAAGAAAAAATATATGTAGATAAAATCATTCACATAAAATACATATATCAGTAAATTTTCCAAAAAAAAAACTTCAAAAAATAAATGATGAAAATAAAAAAATTTAAGTTTGCTTTTGATGTCAAAATTTCCGCAATTAAAAACGTGTTTTAAATATTTTATTTATCATTGTCGATGTCTAACATAACGCAAAATATCGACTTTTTTAATATTGGACCCAGCAGTTTGGCTTCTCACAGAGAAAAATATAAATTTTTAACACACACGCAGAATCGCAGCAGCAACAACGCGTATAAAAATTCATAGAAACACACCTTTACAACTTTGTAGCTTCTGGCATGGTCGGTTATTGTCGCACTGCCGCCACTATCAGCCAGGCATCCCCTAACAAAATAATAGTAGAAATTGATGATGCCCTCTTAGAAGTGGCGCCACTGTTGAATATACGTATATAATTTTCCTGCACCGCTGCGGCAACGCTTGGATATTTTTGTACGCTATGCGTACTTTTTATAACAACACAGCTTAGAATTGTTGAACGCCTTGTTTGTAGAGCTAAATTTTTTATATTTTACACCTTGAAGTGTTAATTTTTTTTAAGTTAAAACAACTACATTACACTCTGCACGCACAATCACAAATTTTGTCACTAGTCTCAATTTTTTTCATTAATTTGCCGCTGACAGTGCTTTAATGCGCTACATTGTAAAAAGTATAGTACATATTGCAAAATGTATTTGAAAAAAGTAGTAAATTTAAAAAGTAGTAGAAATTTTATTTTCAAAATTCTTTGTTGTAATAAATAAATTTAATATTTTATTTGAAAAAAAAGTGAATATAATATTCTTTTTAATTTAAATTAATTAATTATCTCTTACTACGATTTTTAATGTTTAATATACAAATTTTACAATGTGTTCTTATAAGGTAGTATTAGTATTGTTACAAAGTAGTAGCTGCATAAACGCACAAAGGCCACACTATTAAAATATGAAAATTGTCCTCAGGGTTGCATTTGCAATAAATGCCAGTTATGTTTTGATGAGTTGACGTAAGTTAAAATGAGAAGTATTATTAAAAATATTTTTTTAAATGCTCCTAGAGTAATATATTTATTATATTTATGTAAAAATTTTTCACATATTGAAAAAGTAACAATAAACATAGGAAAATAATTTTCAAAAATAACATATAAATGAATGTATCAAATATATATGTACATGTATATATTTTTTTACAACAATTTTAAGAATTAATAAACTTATTACATTAGGATAATACCTTACGTTTTACTTATTCGTAACTCTTTATTGAAGTAGTACCACTTCTGCCCATTTTTTCTATAAAGTCATCGACACACCTTGCACTGTTCAATGCTTACTGCCCATCGACTTGTCCCTGGGTCTGGCCATTGGTTTGGAAGATGGACGTTTGGCCTTTTACGATTTGGCTGAAATGCAGATAATACACGTAGCCACGCCACACCCACAACAAGCAATCGCTCCAATAGTAAAGTTATCCTATCTAGAACCTTTGGATGATCCACGACATTGTCTTTATGTGTGGGCAATGCACGAGGATGGCGACAGTTTGACCGCGGTATTGCATACGCTAATTTATGAGAAACGCGTGGCGGAAAAGGATGGTTTCTATTATTTCGAGGTATCTAAAATGTAATATAATAATGTAAACAGATTTAAACCAGCTATTTTTTTTTTAGACATTTCTAACAAGTACAATACGATTACAACTACCGTTGGAGACCAGCAAAAGTATTGCCATTGGTTGCCAGTCAATTAATAAAATTCAAAACGCCAATATGCATAATAATGGTGTAAATCTAAATACGACACAAACAGAGGAAGATGGTTATTGCCTATGTGCGCTCACCTGGTTTTCCACGCAAGAGGAGAAAAATAAGTTACTTATATTTGATTTGAATCAGTGGTATAAAGAGGAAATGCCATTTAGTATTACGAATCAGAAATGTCCCAGTTATTTAGCGGGTTACGTGTTGAGTGGGCGGCAATGTGTGCTTAGCGCTTTTCTTAATCCTGGCACTGTGGCGCATTTCAATTCGTTGCAGCGCTTTGAAGAGCACTTCTATCCCAATTCGCTTAGTTTCGGTGAGTATGATTACTATGTATAGGGCCGAAAAAAAACCCAGGTCCGGGGATGATTGAACTGAATTGTTAGAGAAAATACGGTCCTGACAGGAACTGTTTTCGGTCTCACCCTCTCTCTTTCGCTGACTATGTACATTGTATATACCTAAGACTTTTTTATATCGAATTGTATTATATTTTTTTCTTAATACTTCCAGATTGTCTACTCTTACTGCCGGATAGCTCACTTGGCTACACCTGGATTGGTGCACAAAATAAAATCATCAATATGTTGCGTGCCAGTAATTCGAGTATTTTTCTTGAACCGGATATGTATTTTAGAGAGATTCTGCGTACACGATTATTACCGCAATTTTCAGAACTTAATGTGGATTCCACTTTCTCGCGGGTATGTAAAACTAAAACTAAATAACATTCAATAGCACACAAACGTATCTAACGATAACAGTCACCCTGGGTATCTTGATATAAGGATATCGATAGATATTATATCATGAATTTATTAGCGAGGAAAAGCTATATATTCATCATTTTTCTCCCACTTATTTAATAGTTTATTTGACTATTGTTGTAGTCAAAACATGTCTCTGAAGTAGTTTGGAATTTGATTTTGATTGGTTAGTTTGTACAGCAGCTAGATGCTATACTGGTCCGATTTGAATATATTTTCGGATACTACATTTTTATCTTACGCAATAATGTATTAAAAATTTCGTGAAGATATCCTGTCAAATAAAAAAGGTTTCCATACAAGGGCTTGATTTTGATCGGCTTTTGATTTTGATAGTGATCCCATATTGATGGTTCCGACAAATGAGGGGCTTCTTGGTAAGAAAAATAAAATACTTCTGCATATTAAATAAATTGCAATATTTTTCATTTACACACCTTATCACCATGACTATTCCTATCAAACGCCGCTGTTGGCGTCTTCATTGGCGCCAATGCTTTTGTTTTATCGTTGTGTAGTAACACTGCATATTTGTCCAGTTCTTCAAGTGTCAAACTGTAATATTTATTAAAAGATGTAATAGTAATCAAAATAGCGTGTTTTCATGTTGCATTTGTTTATACCTGTCATCTACAGCTTCTTGTCCACATAATACTCGCTGTAGTATTTTCAATTTCTGCAATTCTTCGTTGTTTTCTTCTGGTAATGTTGTATTTGTAATACGTTGTTCCAAGTAAGGCAAAAATTTTTGCATTTCATTGACTTTGTGCGTATAGTCATGTTTTTGTTTTTCTGACTCTGTGACCGGCCCCATACTACTCCTAATACAATTCAGCAGATAATCGGTGCAATTGGCTTGTGTTTTATGTTATTGTTGTTGTATGCTTGTTTAAATTTTTCTTCAAAAATATTGACGGTTCCGACAAATGAGGGGCTTCTTGGTAAGAAAATGTGTTTTACATCGATATTTTCAAAAATGAGGGACTAGCATGAGTATATATAGAGAGACTGACATGCATAAATCAACTCAGCTCGTCATGCTGATCATCTATACATTTGTTCGTTTCCTCCTGAGTGTTGGTTCTCTATTCAGGATATAAAAACTGGTATAATAATAAAAAAATGCATAATTCTAGTTTAAAACCCCAACATGTATATTTATTAATTTAAAAGTATCTTTTCTGTATTCGTAGCTCGCTATCTTTGAGACGATTCTATCAGTCGCTTTGGAACACAACTGTTTCAGTCTTCTTCGCGATTGTGCTAAATGTTGGGCAGATGGCAGTTTCATGGGTTGCAACTTTACGGCCACCACAGGTATTTCGCTGTCTACACTCACCGATTGGATCTGGAAGCGAGCAACCGACATTAAGGCACGTTGCAATGACCTTTCAAAGGGTCTATTCGATTTTGCGGGTTTTCCATTGGATCAACGTGAGCAGAAAGAGTTGGGCTTTTTAACTCGCCAGCTGAAACGGCTAGGCGATTTACTCAATGAGGTACTAACCACAGGCAAACGCTATATACCCGAAAACGGTGAGAATTAAAACAAAAATATTAAATTCAAAATATAATGCAATTAATATATTTATACCAGTTTACCACAAGCTCGAAACGCAGCACAAATCATTAAAAATGGCTTCCGAGTATCAAGATGTGTTGCTCTGGTTGCTGAACATTGGGTTACTACCAGAAATGCAGCAAAATCGTAATAATTTTAGCTTATACAAACCGTATGGCAAGAACAAAGTTGTCTACAAGGCGAACCAGTCTAACACAAACGCTATACAATATCCCTACGATGATCTGCAGAATCTCTATGCGCGTAGACGTGAATTTTTCGCACGTAGTAATGAAAATTTCATCTCAAAGAAGACTGGAAGTTGTCGTCTGCTTTTCATCGATGCACTTATATCACACGAATGCAAGAGCGATGGTTTGCGCGAGTGTTGGCTGGAGAATGGTGGCACTGGCTTGTATCCACCCCCATCCATAGAGGCAATGCTACGCGTTATGCTTGTGCCTGAACTAGAATTTGAAAGTAAATGTGCGATTTTGTTGTACTTCTTTTTGGACTTACACATGACCATTGACGAGCAGGCGCATAAAGAAATAGTCGAGAGCTTTGTAAAATTCCCAAGCGTTTTCAAGCTAACTGCCACATTGATTAAGACGGTGCAATCGCTTTGGAATCTGGACCATGGCTTATTTCAGGTAAGTGCAATGGCGGCAATGGTTTCGAATCCGTCAACCAATATATTTTTTGTGGCGTTTAGACTTAATTAAAATTAATGTTATAACCTAAGAGTTCAATGAAATTAACCGATATGGCCGCCTTCCGGTTACAAAACACGATGCACTCCTCTTAAAGCAGTGTCTGCTAGGTTATTTTCCTAGGTGGTCTGATGAATAACATAACCTGGGTACCTATGCTAACGCTCGCATTGACCATCTGCCTATAATTATTCCGATTGAGAAACCTTCCGACTTTATTTCTGTGGACCTTAGTTAACTTTAACAAAGCTAAATCGGCTTCACAGAATTTACCGAGAACATCTTCACCGCTCTATCCACTCTTACGGATGTAATCGTTGGCGAACGTCGATTCCGCAAGGTGATCGCAGCAGCTACCGCTCGCATCAGCAGCCGTTTTAGCTATTGAGCGCGACACTTTATGCCATGTCGATCCCTGTGATCCCCGAATAAGGGATCTTCATTTGAAGATTCGTCAAATTGTAAACCAGCATAAGCGGACAAAATGGCAGTTGAAGTCCTGTAATCTCTCCACCGGCGTGAGCAAGCTTTCGATAACTGTCAATCCTTTCTTTAATCCGAAGAGACATGATCACCGAGTTGAAATTCAATTCAATGGCCATGCCTCTTTGGACCCGAAGAAGTGCGCGAACTATTTTAGCCGGCAATTCACACTTCACCCTTCGGTAGACAAAGCCAAACGATGTGTTACTCGACGGCTGCGCAAAATGCCAAAAGACTGCGCACCACTTACTTTCACCGATGAGGAGGTGCAGAGTGTAATTAAAAAAATCAAAATCGTCAAATTCCATTT